TCAGCTAATACGCATAATTCCTAATGTTTCCGGTTATTATGCATAATAACTGATAAGTTTAGTTATTACGCATAATTCCTAAAATGTCTAGTTATTATGCATAATAACGGATTTCGGATATTAGTTGTAACAAATGAATCAGTCAATTTATTATTGATCAAATTAAGAACGAGCCACCCCATTTTGTGGAAAATGTGAGAATACGCTCGTCATTATAACAATAAAATAATGATAAGGTAAGAATTATAATAATAACATTCAGAATATTTTGTTCAATGGAGGCTTATAAATAATTTTAGTCATTTGTAGGGATGTACCGACTAGTGGCCGACCGGTCGGATAAGCCGACTATTCGGCCGTTTTTCATCGTCGGCTGGCAGTCGGCAAATATTTAATTGCGATTTAATTTTTAACCCCGCGTTATATGTGACCGACTCTACGCCAATCAGACGTCGCTAATGGCCTTGTTGAATGCGTGATCAACTTAATCTCAGTTAAAATATTGCATCTGTAGGAACAAGAATTCCCACAAAATCAGGTGTTCTACCTGAGAGCATTCATAGTAATTGTAAAAATGTAAATACTTCCGGTCTTTCGTCTACCTGCCCTACGCTCCTACACACTTTCTCTTCTCGCTTCTAGACTTTTCTATACTCCTTCTTTACCTACTTCCACCTCTTCGAAACCGAGCTTACCTGTGTACCATTTTAAAACACCCTTCCTTCTTCTCCCTGGCACTCTCGAACAGTAAAGAACGAAATAAAATCTGAAAACCGTACCGCCGCTTTTAAATCACCAACAATACCCACACATCAACTGGCCCAAAATGGTGTTATACTTTATTTTTGTAGTGAGCTACTAAAAAAATTAAATGTTCAAATTATCCAAACACATTTAACACATTTTTTGGAAAACAAAGGAACTTTAGTTATTCCTTTTATTAAAATAAAACAAAATTTTAAGGTAGTCAGAGAAATAGAAAAAAAAACACACTGTCTGTCGCATTTATAAACCGGTTTTAGCAAAGCCGAACAGTCGGCCGACTAGTCGGTTTTTACTGGCCGAACAATCGGCTAGTCGGTTAGTCGGCCAGACCTACAGTCGGTACATCTCTAGTCATTTGTTTTGGGGCGATAAACTCATTCAAATCAAATAAATGTCTACGTGACATTCCTCCGATGTAATGTATTGATGATAATGTGCTGTAAATATTTTTTTTACACATATGCGTTTTGCTATGACTATCTACCCGTCTGAAGTGCGGCAGGTGCATCCTTGCCTTACTCGCTTCTCGCTTTCCAATTGTGTCGAAGCAATAAAAGACTCTGGGCGACCATCGGTATTGTTTGCAGTTTCTCTGTTTGACTCTCACGTGTACAATCTCAACAAGTGTTACCGCTTGTTGTCTTAAATTAAGAATGCTTATACATAAATGATTTTGAGTCGCCTCTGCTAATACAGGCGGCATACGTGAGTAAACTGTTTAGTTATTTTATTGATTATAAATCAATATTCAAGACGACCCAATTCATTTTCCCGAAAATTTGGGAATACAGTACTTTTATTTTTAGTATTACACTACATGCAGTGTTGGGCAGTATCTAGATACTTGTATCTAAATTAAGTATCCAGATACAATCGAATTTAAGCACAAAATATCTGTATCTAGATACAAAATTAGTGGCGCAGATACAGATACATTTTTTTATTTCACTTTTTTTTCAGTAATTATTATTAGTTGAGTTATACTAGTAGTAATTTTTGATACTTCATGTTGGTGATTTTGGTCACATAAACAAAAATAGAGGTAAGAAGTCCACTAATAGTGTTCTGTCACGGAAATCTTCATATTTTAAATACCATCATTTCCTACATGGTAGCCTTCGGTACTTATACATCTTTAAATATAATCCCGAGGGGTAATAAATCTAAGCCATCGTAAGATGGTATTTTAAAAACCATAAACCACAATTCACTATTCACTGCGTTTTACCCTTGTCGGGGCAATGTACTTTATCTGTGTACCTGAGCAACCCGGGTCCGGTAGGCCCGCTGGTTGTATTTGTGTTATTAAATAAGAGTAATTTTAATAGTAAAAATATTTGTTTAAGGTATGTTATTATTTTTAGAAAATAATAATTGCGTGTTACATAATGATGAATTTTTTCAATTAGCACAAATTAGTGTTGTAAACGATTAATCGAATGTGCAATACATATATTTCTCTCGCATAAATCGCATATTTGTTACTGTTTTATATCTTCATTTTTCAGACAAATGTAGCATCTTTTCCTGTTGCCACATGTGTCATTTCTTCACTTTTTCATTGTTGGACCTAACGCGAGGCGGGCTTGACAGGTCCGTTTTGCTCTAGAATGTGCCGATTATGTTTAAGTGTAATTATCTTGGTCAATAAAATTAATATTTTTACAACCCTCGGTAGAATAATTTATCGTGATATATTCTCAGAACTCGTGAAACGAGATTAAAATAAAATGAGTTTCAACAAAAATCTGAAAATATAAAGTTGCACTTTGGTGATTCCGGCCTGCCAGACAGCCTTTGATCCTATAAGGGGTTTAAATACCTTTCTAAGAAATTGTACTTATTTTGCCTTAAACGGAACCACCAACTCTTCCTAAAATTTATATACCTGCCGCACAGGGATAGACGATTTCCGGCCATGGTCATAAAAACATGGTAAGCCAATATTGAAGAATAATAATTTATGACAGTTTGCCGACAACAGACCTTCAGCACAGAATAATCATTTCCCGTGTCCTTTTGAAATATCAATTTTAATGCTGGAGATATACTCAAACACAATTTGGACACTGTAGTATGGGAATAAAAACAAAAAAAAAGATTTTTCAGTCTTGAATAACTATGCTACAGTAAAATGTTTATTTTTTAAATTTAACACCACAATCCCTTCTTCTGCACCTGTGGAACGGGTGTTTAGTAGCGGAAACCAAATTCTGACACCAAGAAGAAATAATTTAGGTGGCAATACGTTCGAAATGTTAATTTTAAAAAATTCATTAAACAATACATAAAAAAATACATAAACATGTTTTCAGTTATTTTATTCGTCAAAGATTCAAAAAGTATCTGTATCTGTATCTAGATACATTTCGAAAAAATCGAAAACAATCTGTATCTACATACTTTTATCTCCCATATATCTGTATCTGTCCCCAACACTGACTACATGTATCCAAACTGATATACGTGTCCTTGCAAAAATGTTGATGATGTCATCGCAATTTTTTTTAAATTGCCCCGCTACAAAAATGTAATGAGGAAAAAACATAATAGGCATGCAGTGGTCATGTTTCCGACAGCGAGGGAAGTACTCTCTAAACTCTTTCGACCAATTTTTTCAAATAGCACAAATTAGTTTTGTAAGTAAATGTGATGAATACTGCTGTAGAATATTTATTTTTTCAATATAACACAACAATTCTTTCTTCTATACCTTTGGAGCGGCTGTTTAGCAGCGAAAATCAAATTCTTACTCCAAGGAAAAATAATTTAGGCGGCAACATATGTGAAATGTTAATTTTAATCTGTATCTAGATAATTTTAAAAGTATCTGTCCCCAAGACTGTATACACGTTTTCCAGTGGTTTCAAAGTTATCAGGGGAGAATCTGACTTTAAAGCGGCACGGTATAATGACAATGCAGTGCAATTTAAACAGTCAATCGGTTCAAAAAGACTATAAAATAATGTTAGATTTTGAAACTCAATTGTTATAGTAACTGCAACATTTTGTTAATTTGACACATACATCTAAAGAAAATACTGTGAAGTTTTAGGAAAAATGAGAACTAAGAGAACTAAGTAATAAAAAGTGTTTGATGTTAAAAAATAACGGCTTTAAATTATTGTAAAAAGTTTTGATTATAGATTTTCACAATATGTATTAATGTTCATTTAAAAACTTCTGTAATCAGAGTTTTGACTAGAGATTTTCACAATAAGTATCAATGTTCATTTAAAAGCTTATGTAATCAGTGCTTTAAAATACCTACAGACTATGGATAATGACAGTGAATAAAGTTTTACGGCAACTAAATCTATAAGTGACAGTATTTTCAAAGTGAAAAGTATATTGTCGTATATTATTCTGTTGACGATTGTTTTCTGTCAATATTGACGGCATATTTTGCAGAAAAAATGTATCTAGTTCTTCCTACATAAATTGTACATGTTTCGGGTACATGGTGTATATTTGATCATACATATAAGCATGCTTAGTGATAAACTTATAAACAAGAATGGGTTCTACACTATATTTTGATATTCCTTATTCAAAATTTCATCATTTGGACAAAAAAGTATAATACTGGCTCGTCCTGGATATTTTATGAAATCTACTCCAATTATAGTTTTGTCCATAATTCTGAACCTTATTAGATTAACTATACGCAAAGTCTATTTTACACGTTTTCCGTTATTTCAGTCAAAGTTGAAAAACCTTTATGCGAAGCGCATTTTTGGAATCTCGACTTCGTCTCGGTTCGCCCGTTCTGCATTCATAATCGCAAAAGTGAGATTTCTGAACACTTGAACGCAAAAAAATATTATTATTGTGCCAGTTAACACAAAAGCATAAGGTCATGCGCAGTCACGTCATTATCAGTTCATCATAGAAAAGAAAAAACGTGTTTCGTATCTAAACAAATTCTAAATATACAACAAGTTTGATAATTTTATTTAATTTTGACCATGAAAGCTATTAATAACACGCTACGATAAAAGATAGCAGCACACCAATAACGCGAGTTAAGCGCGACTCTTTAATTAAATCCCTTTTCCCAACTTCAATCAAATTAAATCCCAATCGCCGCACAATCTCACGATCATCTCCTCTTTCCCCACCCTCCTCAACCCAATCTCACGCCTTTATCGCATTGGCCGGACTACAAAGGTAAGACAGTGGCTCGTAGTGGGGAGCGACCGGTCCACTGCAACTGTTAACTACTTGAAATCGGAAGGAAAACAAAATCGCTCTTCAGTCTTGTTTTGCGCGTCTCGTAGTGTAGTTAGGGTAATGCTCAACGTTCAACGACATGCCGCCACTCTTCCTCCTCCTTCTCGTGGCCGCCGCCGACGCCGCCAGAAACGTCAACGTCTCCAAGTGCTGCCCCTTCTCCCACACCCTCACAAACAAAAATAAGTGTGTTCCCGTGACCGCCCCCGAGTGGAACCTGCGGGTGTATAGCCCCACCTCCCGCAAGTACCTTCCCTTGAACCAGGTCCCCCCGAACTGGCATCTCCAGGAGGCCGTCAAACCGCCGTGCTCGATTCCGGGGCTGCTCACCACGTCCACGTTGGGGAGTTACGTTCCCTTCCAGAACGGCTCCCTCTTCGTGGTGCACAACAACAAGCTGGTGCATCCTCCGGACTACTGCATCGATTACAACGCCGTGCTGTATTGTCTCCAGGAATCGAAGGTGGTGGTGCCGCCTGGGAATTATTACGTGGTGGAGGATGCGGGTGAGTGCTTGTTGAAACCTGTTGCGAAGATGATGTGGGGTTTTTGTAAATTTAGATGTTTTGACTTCATGCGTGAATGGAATCGTAAGAATTTTTTTTTTATTATTATTTTCGAAGATGTTAAAAATATTCATTTTAATCAATAAAATCGTCCTTTTTACAAAAATTAAAATTATACATAATTGCTCTTCGTTTAATAATAAAATTTTATGCCACCACAGGTGGAGGGGGCTGTAAGGCGTACACATTTTTTCTGCTATAAAAAGGGGCGATTTGTGGCAATAATCAATTTCTGAGATGACATTGTCAAAGAAATTGGATGGGATAATAAACACAATAAATTATACATACTTTTTTTTAGACACAAAGAAAGAGTTCTAAAAACATTTTACATATTTGTTGATAGAGATGCATAAATCAGTTTCAGTTAATCTTCTTTAATGTGTAAATCAATATTAGTCATTCATCAAATTTTTGAAAGAGTTTGTTATTCAATCTCTGAGATAAGATACTCAACATTTGACGGTTCAAATCCACTGTGTTAACTCAACCCAATCACACAAAATTTAAAAAAATTGGTCGAAGTTTTTTCGAGAGAACTTCCCTCGCCACTGAAATACAATAAAACAATTCCAGCTTTTTCGAAAAATTATAAAATTGATTTTGGAAATTTTATTTTTTTATGAGAACTCTTATAGGTTAGACATTAATGTAATGTTAAAGTAAATGTAAAGAAGCCTGCTGCGCGTATGTTTCAAATGAGTTTTCCCTTAACAAAATTTTGTGATGATCATCAAGTTCCTGGAAGATAAACGTATATATTTTGATTGAAAATTTACAATGCTTACGATAAATTTAAAACGTCTGCAGGAATTCAAAGCATTCCTGATTTAATCAATAACATATATTGACTCATTCATTATTTTTTTGAGTCATTCTGTGTAAGTAATTCTAAAAACTATTAGTGCGTTGATAAACCACAAGCATAATATTTGCACATTTCAGAGAGGATTTATTTGGAAAAATTTCCAGACCACGTCCTAAAAATTTTGGGAGGGTTAAACGAATAAATTTTAATTAACTATTTACCATAATTGGGATAACCTTAAAATGTTTACAAGATTTTAGAGCATTCAGTTTTGTAGTTCCAATGTTAAATTGTAAAATATTGTCATACAATTTTGGCTTTTTTTTTTCAAAAGTCTGGATGTCTAGGGCGACACGGATTTATAAACCACAAGTGTAGGAGTATGTTATTTTATAAAATAAAAAAACACTATTTTAAATTTTGGAGAAGACTTCTTGATTGACAAAATTTTAGTTAGCGTTTTACCATCTACATGATATTCTTAATATAAATACAAAATTTGACAACATTTGGTCCAGAAGGTTCGAGATTATCTGTCTAATAAAAATCCGGGCAACGAAGACAGACGGAAACGGGGGACTTATTTCTTTGTATTCAAAGGGTTATGAAAGATAAAAGTATTCGGGATGGACTCGATTACAATACTTCGTTAGCTTATGCTCGGGAAATAAGGGTGATTATTAAAGCAAATGTAACATGCTATAATAATTAGAGACAAATTTTCGTTTTGTTATATTGCTAATACTTTTAAAATTCCAGAAAAGCGGTTTCGAAGATTATTTGTGTAAAAAAAAATGAAAATGGGAAACCTGCATTTTCATATTCTATTATATGTTACCCCACTACTGAAGTTTATAAAAGTAGAATGTTATGTTTTAGAAGTTTCTTTGAATTTTGATTCTTGATTTGTTCTTAATATGATTCATTTTGGTATCAGATTATATTTGCTATTATTTTCAGCATGGAGAATACAAAAGTGTTGTTTTTTCGTTTATATCGCTGTTGTTGCAACAGATAATCTGCGAAATTGTAGGTATCCTTTCAGGTTATTTTGTATTTACAACACCAAGTTGCAAGTTCATATTTGTTTATCTTTTCATAACAAAAGTAGCAAATAATAATTGAATTCATTTTACTTAAAATAGGAGCGATTAATATTCACAGTACTGAAAATTTTGAAATTGACACATGATTGTGAAGTAAAACTATTATCTAAATAACAATTACATATTTTTATAAGAGATTTTTTGATATTTGAAGTTACAAAAGTCATTGGTAAATCCAATAATCCGTCTTTGATTTAGTTTTAATATCCACTTTGCTACTGTACGCCCATATTATACTTGCTTTCAAAATAAGAGACTAAAACTACCTGGAAAACTGACTGGACTTTTAGGGTTTTCCAACCCTAAGTGGTAGGTGGGCCAATAGGAATGATTGACAGCTTGAACCAGGTATAATGGATTAAGCTTATGGCCCTATTATGATACCCTAAAAGTTAAGGTCGTTTTGCAGGTAGTTTTACTCTCTTATTTTGGAAGCAAGTATAACACATTGCTGAAATACAGTCCAATATAATTAGCCAGTTTTTGTTGTATGTTAAATATAAAACGGATCTGGATCTGGCTCGAAGGACCATTTATAGATTATGGTGGTTCTAAACTATTTGTGCTTTTACAAATTGGTTATGTTGAAGTACTGAACTTGGAGAAGGAGTTTCGTAAAACGAACATAAAATTATAGTAAACCAAAAGATTATATGGCCATCTTAAAACTATCCCATTGTGTGGAAGTTAAGTTGTTTATACTTGTCCAAAAGGTATAAGGTTATATGACCATCATAAAAGTAGTTGACCGCAAATAAATACCCCCTTTGTGTGGTTCGCACTAAGCTTACCGGTTGGCAATAAATCGTCTTCTAAACATTTCTTGCTCACATTTAACAGGGCCGGCTTTCAGAGCGAGTGGTTATTTCGGAACCCTCAGCGGCTGCAGATAGTAAAGAAATAGTGGAGTGGTGGATTTCCATATTTAGTGAAAGCCGCCCCTGAACGAAACCATAATAGCCGGTCGAGCTGCAGTGGACACGTTATTTACGACCCTAAAATATTTTCTATTGTAAACAACTTAACTTCGACACAATGGGATGATTTTATGATGGCCATATAACCTTATAGCTCTTGGTCCACTATACAATAGAAAAGGTTTTAGGGTCGTAAATAACGTGTCCACTGCAGTTCTACCGACTGTCGTCGTTTCGTTCAGAGGCGGCTTTCACTAAATATCTAAATCTAAACAAGAAATGTTTAGAAGACGATTTATTGCCAACCGGTAAGCTTAGTACGGACCACGCAAAGTGGGTATTTATTATTTGCGGTCAACTACTTTTATGATGGTTTTATAACCTTATAGCTCTTGGGCTACTTTACATTTATGCTCAATTTTTGTAAATTTTTGAAGTTCGGAAATCTAAATATAGAAACAAAAAACGGGTTACTTACTCATCAAATTATAGAAGGTATGGAAAACACTGTTGTATTAGTCAGCATAGAAATTTGAGCCAACGATCGCTTGAATATCTCGAAACTAGAAAAAAGCAAAAAAAGATTTATTAAGTTATTTAAGCTCAATTCCTGTTTCGACGAAAACAAGCTATTTCACACACGATTTTAGATAATAATTTTGCACATTAATAGTTTAAAGGACATTTCTGATAGATTTTTGCAGATGCTAGATAACTGTTAATGGCATTTTGTCCCCGCAGGTAAATCACATGACCGGGACATTTTATGTAAATTTAAGCACGGTTCCGTTGTTAAATTCCACTTACGAATAAGTATTTCATTCTGTGTTTTAGTGCGTACTGTAGGAATAGTAAATTGGAAAATATAAAACTGCAGTTAACTTTGTCGATCGACATGTATTTGATAATTCCGAACACTTGGCAATTTAATAATTACATACAGAGTGTTCAATTAGCGATTAACTCGTAAGCGTATAATGGTTCATTTGTTTTTGATTAACGGTTGAATGACAGGAAACTTAACTTAAAATTGCAATTGCAAATCTTGTGCGTGGAAATGAAAAATTATGTAAAAGCCGGTTTGCGTCTCCAAGATGGTGGTATTCCGGGTTATTAGTAAGAGGTTTAACTGTAGCTTCATTGAATATTAATATAGGTATTAAACTTGTGTAATCAATGACTGTTGCAAATGAGAAACGACAACTGACACAGCACTATTTTCAGTCTATTAAAGAAACGACAATCTAAAGTTAAAAAGCACTGTATGCACTGTAAAAGAAAGTCTCCAGACATGCGAATCTCATTTGAACCTGTTACTAATTTATTTTTACTCCATTAAGTTGTTCGACAACTTACACATGAATGTTATTATTTATAAATAAACCACCTGAACAAGGCTTTAACCTTTACATTCTAAACGACATTGATTCTCATGGTTGCGTTCGCATTTTCTTCAAAAACCACAATCGTAACCTAACTTCCGCAAAGGTCGCTTCACCACCCAATTCCGTTCTTCCACACATATAATTTACAATCGTCGCTTTCGTGCCTCTCCATCCTCTTATTTCCTTTTCACCTGTTGCACACGCCGACAAAGAAACCTGACCCAAATTTCCCATTTTAATCCATTGTCTTGTACTTTTACCGTTACCTTAGTCATTACGGTCGCTTCATCAACGAAATTCGAACAAATTTGATAGCATGCCTCAATAAACATCTGTCGTGCTCTGATGGAGGCGAAAATGTCGCTTTGAAACGAAATGGCGCGAAAATCAAGGTCATACGGTTGGCCGCACTGCAAGGGTGTTAACTGTACGTCTTGTTTTCAGGTGGATCCCCTAAGATCATGATCTTTCAGGAAAACGTGACAGGTGTGATTGTCGAAAAAGCACAAGCGCAAGATGTTAGGTTCATCATCTATCCGATTGGGTTGGCTCTGGGAGCCGTCTTCTTGGCGGCTACTCTTGCGGCTGGTGCTATATTACCAGCCAGCCACCACGTGCTGCACTGGAGGTGCCAAACCAACTACGTCGCGTGTCTTCTTGGAGGTGATGTTCTTCTGTGCATCACACATCTGTCGGGAAGGATGGACCCCGCAGTTTGTGTGCTAATTGGTAAGTTAAAATTTAAAATTCTCACCTTCAAAGCAGTAGATTAATTTAAATCTCCACATCGAAATTTCAACCACTTTGCCCATTGAAGATGTTAAAAATAAATGATGGTTTTACAACGTGACGTCAGGACCATCCATTGCCTTTTTACTTCCCGAGCGTAAGCAAAGGAAGTATTGTAATCGAGTCCGTCGGCCGACTCTCTACTTTTACGTTTTCTCGATCTTTCATGACCCCTAGAAGACGAAGAAATAGGTCTCCCATTTCCGTCTGTCTGTCCGTCTGTCCGTCTGTCCGTCTGTCCGTCCGTCTGTCCGTCTGTCCGTCTGTCCGTCCGTCTGTCCGTCTGTCCGTCCGTCTGTCCGTCTGTCCGTCTGTTGTCCCGGATTCTTATTAGACAGATAATCTCCGAAAGTACTCGACCGATTGTTGTGAAATTTTGTACTTAAATTAAGAATATCATGTAGATGGTAAAACGCTAACCAAAATTTGTCTAATCATCCCCACCACTGATGCGATGACGTCACTTCAAAATTGTACATAGTAAATGGGTTTTCAATTGTATAAAATAACATAGTCCTACACATGTAGTTTACAACTCTGAATCGACTTTTCACCCGAAACGTCCAGATTTTTGGAAAAAAAATCAAAACTATAAAACAATATTTTGAAATTTAATTTTTAATCTGCTAACCAGAATGCTTTGAAATGTTGCAGATGTTTTAAGGCTATAAAGAGCATCATAAATCTTTCGTCAAAAAATATTTGCTTATCCCCTCCAAAAACTTGATGACGTCAGCTCAAAAGTTTGTGGAATAAATCATATCTAAAATGTACAAAATATGATGAGTCTGTACTTGTGATCTATCACTCCATTCATATTTTTTGGATTTGCATATACAGGGTGACTCAAAAAAATTAATGAATGCGTAAATATATTTTATTGATTTAATCAGGAACTACAAAACCGAATGCTCTGAAATTGCAGATGTTTTAAGGCTATAAAGAGCATCATAAATCTTTAGTCAAAAAATATTTGCTTATCCCCTCCAAAAACTTGATGACGTCAGCTCAAAAGTTTGTGGAATAAATCATATCTAAAATGTACAAAATATGATGAGTCTGTACTTGTGATCTATGACTCCATTCATATTTTTTGGATTTGCATATACAGGGTGACTCAAAAAAATTAATGAATGCGTAAATATATTTTATTGATTTAATCAGGAACTACAAAACCGAATGCTCTGAAATCTTGCAGATGTTTTAAGGTCATAAAGAGCATAATAAATGTTTAGTCAAAATATATTTGCTTATCCCCTCCAAAAACTTGATGACGTCAGCTCGAAAATTTGCCGAATAAATCATATCTAAAATGTACAAAATATGATGAGCCTGTACTTGTGATCTATCACTCCATTCATATTTTTTGGATTTGCATATACAGGGTGATTCAAGAAAATAAATGAAAGCGTAAATTTATTTTACTGATTTACTCAGGAACTACAAAACCGAATGCTTCGAAATCTTGAAGATATTTTAAAATTATCATAAGCATGGTAAATTTTTGATCAAAACGTATTTGGTCGTCCCCCCTAAAAAATTTATGATGTCACCACAAAATTTTGGTGAATAAATCCTATCTAAAATGTACAAAATATGGTGAGTCTCTTCTTGTGATTTATCATTCCATTCAAATTTTTTCGATTTGCATATACAGAGTGACTCAAAAAAATTAATGAATGCGTAAATTTATTTTATTGATTTAATCAGGAACTACAAAACCGAATGCTTTGAAATCTTGCAGATGTTGTAAGGTTATAAAGAGCATAATAAATTTTTAGTCAAAATATATTTGGTTATCTTCTACAAAAAACTGATGACGTCAGCTCAAAAGTTTGCCGAATAAATCGTATCTAAAATGTACAAAATATGATGAGTCTGTACTTGTGATTTATCATTCCATTCATATTTTTGGATTTGCATATGCAGGGTGACTCAAAAAAATTAATGAAGGCGTGAATTTATTTTATCGATTTAATCAGGAATTACAAAACCGAATGCTTTGAAATCTTGGGAATATTTTAAAGTTATTATAAGCATGGTAAACTTTTGTTCAAAATGTATTTGTTCATCCCTCCTAAAAAAATTGATGACGTCACCCTTAAATTTTGCTGAATAAATCCTATCTAAAATGCAAAAAATATAATGAGTTTGTACTTGTGATTTATCATTCCATTCATATTTTTTAGATTTTCTTAAGAGGTGGTTCAAAAAAATTAATGAAGTCAACTTATTTTATTGATTAAATTAAAGGCAACACTTATTATTAGTATTACACCCCAACCAACCCAATTTGGTAGACACAAAATTTGTTAAAGGAAAAACTCGGTTGAAACATAAGAGTAGCACGGTTATTTACATCGACTTTAACATTACAGACCTGCATTTGTTTTATGCGGTCACTTGGTTCCGCGAATGCGAAATAGACATGTTTATAATCAACCAATTGTGAATTTCACCGTCAAGAATTAAAATAAAACGCAATGTTTTATATAATAAGCGGAAGTCGAAGCAATAAAACCGATGGTCGTTTTGTTTACAGTTTCTCTGTTTGGCTCTTACGTATGCTGTTACGCTTGTCATCTTAAATTAAGAATGTTTATACATAAACGATTTTCAGTTGCCCCTCATATTACTAGACAGCGGATTTCTGTCGGGCTACGTCACGATTATAGGGGGGGACGTGCTGGATTCCATAAATATAATTAACGATTTATTAATCAAACGGTTAAGTAAATGAGAACGGGAATTAACAGCAGAGTGCAACGAAACAACGTTATTCTAATCTCAAATAAACGAAGTGCAGTCCGCAACGGCAATGAATTCGCATCCCGTGCGAGCCGTACCGAGTTTGGCCTTGCCTAGCCCGACAGAAATCCGCTCTCTATATATTACACACCGGCGCCGTATACGTGAGTAAATTGTTTCGTTATTTTATTGATTATAAGAATTCAATATTCAAAACGACCCAATTCATTTTCCCGAAAATTTGGGAACACAATAATTTTATTCTTAGTATTACACTACATCTATCCCAACTGATATACGTGTCCTTGCAAAAATGTTGATGACGTCATCACAATTTTTTTTTAAATTCCCACTACAAAAATGTAATGAGAAAAAAAAAACATAATAGGCATGCAGTCGTCAAGTTTCCGACAGCGAGGGAAGTACTGTCTAAACTCTTTAGACCAATTTTTTCCTTCTGGCATTCCTCGCCAAAACCGGCGCCTCCAGGCGATAACATTAAGCATTCAGATCCAAGTAGTTAATTCCGTTGATGAATAAGCGTGCAAAAGACCGTTATTGTGTTGAAACTGAACAGTACATGGTGAATCACGAGATAATGACGTCGGGAAAAAAACAAACTTTCGATTTTCGACCTGGCCCAGAACCGATCTTTGTTCTGGTTTTGCAAAAAAGCCACTTTAGGATTTTTGTTTGAGCCATCTGGCAATCGTGAATCATCCATTCAAGTCCTGGCGTTGTTTTTCTTCTTTTGCTTGGCTGAGACGCCATTATGGAACGACGCGGTGAAAAAATGCTCGCTTCACTGGCGTGGTCATCTTCAGTAGACTGTGAAGCACGTAATTAAATAATGCTTAGATGTTGAAGGTGGGAAGAAAGGAATAAAACGAGAAAGGGTAATGTTGAGTTGTGTCTACGTTAAGAGATTTAGGGCACATTTTTTAAGCGTTAAAACAAAGCAATGAAACTGTATTTAAAAAAAAGCTGTCATGGATTTTAAATAAATTTTGATTTTAATGTGAGAGCTATACGTGATTTTAAGCTAAACTTTGCACTGTCAGAGAGATCCAAAAAATAGATTTTTTTTACTGTGTCTGTAAGTCTGTTTATAATTTCAGAATAAATTTGACTTTTTTCTCGTGCAATTTTGAATGGTTAAATTGACAAAAACATGATCAAATAAAATATGTAAATGTTTGGAACTAGTCATAAACAAATCTAGGAGTAAAAGTATAAAAATACGGTTGAGAAAAACATAAACAGGTTAAAATATTTTCACACGGGATGCATTTTGGGAACAAATGTGAAAAGCGGATTTATAACGCTATTATTATATTTATCAACCACTTGGATTGTATTTTGTCTTTTTCTCATGATTGTTCGTTGGACCGAATCAATCCAGCGATTTGTGAAAATTCACTGTTTATATTTTTAGGTTTTATTATTCTTATAACCATGTCTACCTTTTTGTAGTTTTACTTGTACCTATCAGTCCAAATTTTTAACGACTGTGCTCATTTTTTGATCACTTTTTAATATGTATGCTAAAAAATTGTCGAAGTTTATTTCGCCTTGAAGTAAAAAAAAAAATCCGCTTCTTTATTTTGCGATTTTCGTTTTGTAGAAAGTAAAAACCAGGGGGCGTGTTCCGCACAAGTCTGGACAATATGAAATATATTTAAAGCAGATAACCAGGGGGAAACATGTAGCTATTCCCAATTTCTCAGTACATGCTTAATTTCGAAGGTTTATGTTTATACTTTGCAAGAATTCGACTGTTAGCACGTTCAGATTACAAGCACCAACGGTTAAAAGAAAATGAAATTTGACTGATTTTGCGTTCTCAACGCAGAAGAGAGTACTGATTAATTAATTAAGCACACTCAGGTTTTTTTTTACCTAAAACACATACATTTTAAGAAAAAAATTTGGCCAAAATCGTGGTGATCGATTTACCCTAAAATATTTGCAATATCTTACTACATTCGGTTTTTGCAATGTCAGAGTTAAATTGTAAAATATTCTTATAAAATTTTGATATTTTAAAAGTCTGTATACCAAGAGTCAAAACTCAACACGGATTCATAAATCACACATGCAGGAGAATGATATTTTATGAAATTTAAAGAACAAAATTGTAAAATAACGTCATTTTCTGGGTGGGTATAAATGGACAAATTTTGATTAACGAT